AAAGAAAGGAAGAAAGCAAGCAAGCAAGCAAACCGGCCAATCCTGTTAGAAAAGCTTCCAGTTTGCTAGATAAGGCTTGGTTTTCATCCTTTTTGGTGAGCTCTGCCACTGGAAGGCATTCTTCACATTCTTCAGTATTCTCCCAGTTGGAAGGGGGCTTGGGCTCTTTTGGTGTGTCTACCCGCGCCCTCTGTTCTGCATCAAAGGCCATCTTTCATTCTGGGCCTTTGAAGTAAGGCAATATTTTGGTGTTGGTGGGATTTAGCGTTTATTCATAAAAGGCATTGAAAACCTCATCCCAGTGCGGATGTGACTCATCAAAATCAAACCCTCCAATGTCAGGGTCAGACTCAGTGTTCTTTTTGTTGAGCAAAAGAAAACAAAGCTTTTCTTGGCTTTAGGTTTAAACTGTTGTATTAAGATTCCAATGAACGGGTGAAGGGCATTCTAAACATTGCTTAGTCACCACTTAAATTTTCCCTCTTCTGTTGGTTCCTGGTGTGTTAGGATACTTGGCGGGGCTGGGGCGGGGGGGGGGGGTGTCGGCGGGGATTCTGTGAGCATCTGTAACCCGGTTTCTGCTTCACACCTTTCATTCACCTCGAGCGTTCCCATCATCATGGATTAAAGAACAGTGCCAAGGTTTATCAGCACCAGGGCTGATGGTATCTTGAGATCCTGAATTTCCAATCTCAATCTGAATTGAGATTTCCTCACTGCTGCTTCTCTGTTTGGTGTAGAAGGGCACGGGAATTCACAAGTTACAGAAAAAGGTGGGATTTATATTTGAAAATCATTTTCTTTCGTGTTTTAAGTTTGGGGCTTCAGCATCAGTGATTCCAGGATATGCAAGTCCCACGGCCACTGTTGCCCTAGTATTTACCACTCACGCCTTCCTGGAAGGCTTCAGTGGGGAGGCGGCTTTCAAACTGGTTTGATTACAATGCAGAGGAAGGAAAACATTTTACATTTTGACCCAGCATAACACACACACAACTGAAAATATTTTTTAAAAGTATAAAATAGTGTTAATCCTTTTTTTGCGTGATACACTTTGATGCTTTCTAAACTCTTCTTTGTTTTTTTAAATTGCAGGTCACAAATGACTAAGCTGATTTCGTGAATAGAATAGAATAGAATAGAAGAGAAGAGAATAGAATAGGCCTCAAATCACAGTTTAATAAACTTTAGCTTGAGATGTATGAGGGATCTAGGAATGGCCTGCACCTTCAATCCAAAAACATGAGTGAGTCAGAGAAATGAAAGTGGGGGTTGGGGAGTGGTCATGGGGGGTACTCATGGTGGATGGTCTTTGGGGGATGGTCATGGTAGTGGTCATGGGGGTGGTCATGGTAATTGTCATGGGGGTAGTCATAGGAGGGGTGGTCATGGGAGGGGTGGCCATGGGGGGTGGTCATGGGGAATGGTCATGGGGAGGGGTCATGGGCGATGGTCATAGGGGTGGTCATGGAAAATGGTCATGGGGGTAGTCGTGGGGGATGGTTGTGGGGCATGGTCATGGGGGATTGCCTTTGGGGGATGGTCATGGTAGTGGTCATGGGGGTGGTCATGGGGAATGGTCATGGCGGATGGTCATGGGGAATGGCCATAGGAGGGGTAGTAATGGGAGGGGTAGTCATGGGGGAGTGGATATCGGGGGGGCTAGTTTTCCTTCTTCTTGACACATTCTTCTTCCCCATCCCAGGCAGTCCATGATAGCCTGAGTAGGTCCTGTAATTTAGCTCCTGTTGGCTTGTTTGGCTGCAAAATGTTCCCGTTTGCTCTGCAGTTGCCATTTCAAAGTAGAAAAATCTAGTACGGGGGTGATAGTGATTTTTTTTTTCCTTACAAAATGTTGGGGAGGTGGGGAAAGGAGAACCACACAGGCAAATAAATGACCATAGTCTCCTTTGTGTTTTGCTTTGCTTTGCTTTTTGCAAAGTTTAAGATAAGTGGCAGGCTAGGAGAAGATATTCGTAACACATATTAGAGGAAAGTTAGCATCCAGAATACATGAATCACTGCTACAGTGTCTAAAAATCCAAAACACAACACGCCAAGGATATGAAGAGGGCTTCCCAAGAGGGCTGTTTTGAGGATTAAATTTACTGATACATTTAAAGATCTTAGAACAGGGCTTAATCAGAGGATGAGCTCAATAAATATTAGCATTTATAATTTTTGAAATGTCTTTATTGAAGTATAATTTACATAGCATAAATTTCACCCATTGTAAGTGTGCCATTCAATGATTTTCAGTAAATGTGCTGAGTCACGCCACCATCACCACTGTCCAGCTACAGAACATTTCCATCATCTCAAAAATGTCCTGTGTCCATTTCTTGTCATTTCCCTTTGTTCCCAAACCTCAGCCCCAATGGAGCCACTCACCTACACTCTGTCTCTATGTGTTTGCCTTTCCTGGAGATCTCAACAGAATGGAATCATACGATATGTGATCCTTTGTGTTTGGAGTGTTAACGATTATTACTTTTAAAAAATCAAATTGTTATGAAACATCTTTATTAATTGAATACTTTTCCAGTACATTCTTTAAAAAAAAAAAAACCCAATCAGCTATATTTTCATCAGCAGTGCATTTACAATGTCAACGCTGTGTGACACTGTAAAAAGAAATGTTACTATGGTAGGTGGATTAAACAGACACACAAACCTTTCCCTAAATTCCTTGGGTACAAATCATGGCCTGGTGAGGGTGGTCGCAAGGTAGCACACCACAGCAGCCGAGCGTCTGTTGCTCCTGAATCACTAGACTGGGGGCAGGTTCTTCATACTTCTCTAAAGAGGGACTCTTCATGAGACATGTGCCCTGTTTTTTTTCCCTTTCCTAGCCAAGGAAATCATTTGCTTTTACATCATCTCTCTTTTTATATATGTAAATGGGGGCACTAGAACGTTAGGAAATCTGGTGGTAAGGTTTCATTGGGATGTCTCCAGAAGTTTAATCTACAATCAGGTAATTCTTGATCTTTACCTGTGTGGGTCCAAGTCAACATTTGAGGAAAGGCTCCCTTGAATTAAGGAATGTGTGACCTCAAGTGGAGAGAAAGAGAGAGAACCATCCGTTACGTCCAGGCCCATCCCCAAACCCAGCCCAGCGAGCCCTGCCTTCCGCTGTACCTGGCCCCTGTCTCCTTCACCTGCCCCTTACTGTCATTCCCCCCACTTCCTGCAGAGGGCTTTTATTCCAGGGTCAGACCCCATGGCTGGTGGGGCTGTTCCCACTGTCCTTCTCAGGGCACAGCTCCAGGGGGGTGATGAGTGGCCAGGGCTTGGGCAGGGCTCCCCAATTCCTCCTGAGGGAAGCTGATGGTGCTGCTGATTTTTGTTTCTGCTTCAGATGAATTAAAAAACAAAACCGTGTGTGAAGACCAAGAGCTGAAACTGCACTGCCACCCTTCAAAGTTTCTCAACATCTACTCGGCGAGCTACGGCAGGAGGACCCAGGAGAGGGACATCTGCTCCTCAGAAGCAGAGCGGCTTCCCCCCTTTGGTACATGGTTTCATGTGGCTCTCGTTTGGTGCCGAGGGCATGGGGCTCTGGCTTCCCACACAGGGGACAGTACCTGGATTAGAGGGAAAGTCAACGGCAGGGAAGAACCACCCACAGGGTGCTGCCTCCTTCTGCCCCACATGCCCAAATCTGTCCATTGTTTAGTCATTTCACAACAAGTAGTTATTGAACACCGACTGTATGCAGGGCCTTGTTCTAGGCAGAGGGGAGTCATCAGTGACCATACAGGGTCTATATGAAACTGACCTTCCAGTAATGCACAAAGGAGTAGTGAGACAACAAACAAACAGAAAGAGCTAATGTGTCATATTTCAGGTGCACACAAGTGCTAAGGGGGAAAGCACACTTCGGGAGGGAGATGGGGAGGCTGGGGTGTCTGCAGAGAGGCACAGCCTTATGGGGTCACCGGCATGCTGAGCAGAGACTTGAAGGAGGAGATCCCAGGTAGACAGAAGAGCCTGGACCCTAACCAGTTGTTTAGGGTCAAGGGGAGCTCAGGGAATCATTCTTCTTAGGGGTCTGTAGTCTAGAGCTGACAGATGATGGCCAGGATGTGGGGCTGAAAGCTCCACCCATCAAAGTCACGGTGTTATGATTAGTCAGGGATCTCCAGAGAAACAGAACCAACAGGATATACATACCTATATTTGGAAAGAGAGACTGATGTTAAGGAATTGGCTCACACCGTGGTGGTGCCTGGCAGATCTGAAAATTGCAGGGTGGGTTAGGAGTCTGGGAACTCAGGTAAGAGTTGGTGTTTCATCTTGAGTCCGAATTCTGCAGGATAGTTGGCTGGAAACAGGCAGATTTTCTATGCTGCAGCCTGGAGGAAAATTCCTTTTTCAGAAAACCTGTCTTTGCCCTCCAGGCTTTCAACTGATTGGTTGAGGCCCACCCCCATCAGGAAGGGTAATCTGCTTTACTCAGAGTCCACTTTGAATGTTAAATGTTAGTCCTATCTTTAAAATATCTTCACAACCACATCTAGCCTGGTGTTTGACCAAACAATGGGGCACCATGGCCTAGCCGAGTTGAGACATAAAATTAACCATCATACACCCCAGTCTGCAGTGGGAAAGCGGGCTGATCTCTACCCTCTATATTACCTGAGAGAACAGGCCCCACGGGGAGACAGCCCAGAGAGTTGCACTTGATTCATCAAAATCTAAAATGAGCTCCACAGTGTATTAAATTGCTACAATCACATGTGAAATTAAACATAATTTTAAAAAGAAATTTATACAAAACCAATATCTTGGATCTGAAAAAAAGAAAGAAAGAGCGACTGCCCAGGCAAGCTCTCAGGCGAGACTGGAGAGAGAACAAAGAGCAGTTCACAAAGAACACGTGCCCCCAAGGTGCCCAGTCCAGTGTTCTGGGAAGGAAGGTCCTTCGGTGGCAGATGGCAGAGGGTCTCTTGAGGGCAGTCCTGGCAGCCCACAGAGACAGGCTGAAGTGGGCGTTTGGGTTAGCTGCCCTGGATTAGACCTGGGGCAGAGGACTCCCATTTAATGGGCTGGGCTGCCAAATGGGGCAGTGAGGTCCTTGTGGGCGTGGCTTCCCATTTTATGTGTATGTCTTGGCCCCACCCTCAGCCCCATGCCCCGGTGAGTGACCTGGGAGTTCTTGACACTCTGGTCACTCTCGCATGTAACCCCTGCCTGTGTTCAGAACATCTCCACCCCCTCCCACCTTGGTCCCACTACTGCATGAGCTCCAGGGACCACTGCCTGGTCATTGCAGTCTCCCTACTCCCCAGCTTGTCCCCCCCCCGCCCCCCCCCGGGTGTCCAGAGGCATCCTTCCCAAAGGCCCGGTGGGACCCCTCTTTTCTTGAACATCCTGCGGGGCCCCCCCCCCTGTGATCTGGTCTCCTCAGCTGGGTAAGGGGGCCTTGGTGATCTGACCTATTTCTGCAAAAAGGGACTCTCCTTCTTGATATTGGGGTGGGGCACCCCATTTCTCAGGCTTGCGAAATCCAACCTAGCCACATGTGTTTGGGGAGGCAGCACTAAGTCCCATCTGTTTCAGCCATTGTTTTGTGCAGAAGAAGTCCATCAGCCAAGCAGGCAGATCTGTACCCAGGTCGCGTGGGTTACGGGCCGTGGGTCACACTGCCTTAGGTTCTTGGGAAGTTGGATGGGAGTTGGGTTGAAAGGGAAACGTAATCAGCCAAAGAAAATGTTAGCAGACGTTGTGGCTAAGGGACAGGTTTCCATAGAGACTTCGAGGACTGCTTCGGTCACCCAGCTGTGCTCATGCCATGAATAGCCCTCACTGACGTGGGAAAGGTCTTTGAATAGAAGACCATGCCCATTGCTTAGTGGTTCAGTTGGAAAAGTTTGAGCCCCGGCAAAGTCACCTAGCAGAAACAACCTGCTCGTCCTGCCCCGTCCCCTTGTACCCCTCATGGTCAAGGGCTTCTGTCCCTCACCCGTTGACTACGCATGAGGTTGAAGAGCAGGCTGTTCACTGTGTTCAGGAACCACTGCCAAACGCAGGAGAGCGTCCGGCCCTGAGCTCTGCAGGGGGGAGAGGCTCGCAGGGAGGAGGAGAGGCCCTTGGGAGGGCTCCTCATCCTCAGCTCATCCTCAGCTCGTCCCCAGCCTCACGCGGAGGCCTGGATTGTGCCTGCCTTCCAGGTCAACGTCAAGAGCAGACCCTTGCGCGCGCATACAGACCATTGGCTAGCCCTGCTGACGTACTTTCCCCATTGCGCTGAATGCTAAGAAACCGTTTCCTCCTTGGCTGCTGTATGTGAAGATTTTAAACTGCACTGGGCATGTTCCCCCCAGCAAACCATGCTTTTATCCCTCTTGTATAAACACGCTTTAATATTACCACCATTAGAAAGCACCCCTTTTGACCAGCCACCTCCCCCTGACTCGGTCCGCAAGCCCTTGGGCTCTCGAACACTGAGCATCTCTCATCGGCAGCTCTCCTCCCCACTTCTGGGCATCTCTCACCTGGACCCTCCGGCCCACCTCCTGACTGGCCTCTGGACCTTCCTTCTCCCTGATTCCCTCCCTCAGTCCCTTCATCACTTAGCAGCCAGAGAGAGGTTATTAAAATAAATCAGATCACAGCACACGCCCTCCACCCCTTAATGCCCTGCCCTTTGCCCACTGTAATTAGGATCAATCCGTTCTCCCAGCCATGGGTCTGCCCTCCCTTCCCTTACAAACTGTGGGGCACTGCGTACTCATTCATAGCCTGGGGCCTTTGCACCAGCTCTTCCTTTGGCCTGGCATGTTCTCACCCCATCATTCAGGAATCAAATCAGATGTCCTTCTCGGACAGGTTTCCTGGGGCTCCCTGCCAGCATGGAACCTCATCTCTGCAGTCCCAAGCGGCCCCGCTGCTTGAGTGCCTTTATCTCATCACTTACCTGTCTAGGGCCTGTTTCCCCAGAGGAGGGTTAAGCACCGTAGAGACGGTGTCTGTTTGCTTTCCGCAGAATTCCCAGCAACTCGAGCGGTGCCTGGCACAGAGTGGGTGTCCACGTGAATCTCGACGTGCAGGAATGAATCAGAGCCCTTCCTAAGGGAGTTGCCCACACAGGGCTCCTGCAGGTGGATGGCTGCCAGCCCCGAATGTGGGCCTGGTGTCGTCATGGCTTCCAACCCCTCTTGAGATGCTGGAAATCCGGATTCATTTTTTTTTTTTTAATGTGAAATGTTCCAACTTTTAAATAGTGTGTGAGCCAAACAAAACATGCCTACAGGCCACATCTGGTCCCCGGGGTTCCAGGATGATCTCTGCTCTAAGTTACTGGAGCTCAGCAACAATCGCTTTGAAAACGGGAAAAAGGCTATTTATTCTCAACCCTGGGACCTGACATGAGCTTGGCAGGATGACTGTCTAGGGCCGGGTGGTCAGGCCTCACTGCGGCCTCTGGAAGGTGATGTGCGTACCTTTCCTCCTGGGGATAAGCTGCCGTCTGGTGGAACCGAATATGCTCCAGCCTCGGTGCCTCCCTGGGAACACGCATGGTGAAGGCCAGCTGGACCTCAGTGAGGTCAGGAAGCACTGCGGAGTGTGACTTCAGTGCTCAAATACGGAGGGAGGGCATTTCCAGTTCTTTCCGAAAGATGACTAAGAGGGTCCCTGTTAGTGTCCTGCACCAGCACCCTAAATACATTTGAGGGAAATAAGAAAACAGTTCAGCCATAAATGTTACCCATCATATGAGAAGCTTTTTTCTTTTCAGGGTCTCTTCCAAGTCCTGGTATCTGAGCATAGAACGGTTTTTACAAAATGGCAATTCTAAAACAGATACAGTTGATTGTGCTTTGAAATGTAACTTTATATCCTGGGTGTTCTTCCACGTGGCCAACAAAATCCTAACAATGCCCAGTCATTTCTTCATATCTTGTTGAAGGGCTATAGTGTATCATTTAATTAACCATGCCCTAATGGCTGGGGTATTTAACTGCTTCTGATTTTCAAATATTCTAAGTGAGGTATAATGAACTTACGCTTGTAGCTTTTTCTTTCCTCTGGGTTGTTTCCTTGCGATAAATTCCCAGAAGTTTTATACTGAAAGAGGGCATGGGCATATTTACAATTCTTTATATGTATCCCCAGAGTTCTTTCCAAAAACTTCTTGTACCAATTTATGTGTGTAAACAGCGACGTATGCCTCTGGGTTTCCTTGCAGCTCTGGCAGAGGTATGTATGATTTTTCTTCGTGATTCCAATTTAATAGTATAAAATGGTCCTCTTATTTGCCTTTCTTTGAATATTAATGACTTTGAACATTTCCCATGTTTTTGTGGTTCTTGTATTTGCACTCGCGCCCACTGTCTCTCTAGCCTTTGTCCTTTTCCCCCTCCTTGTGGGACCCTTATTTTTTTTCATAAATTTTTACATGACAGAGTAGAGATGTTAATCCTTGACGTGCTTTTTCTGCCGCCAGTCTCCCACCCCACAGTATATTTTTTTCTGGACTTATGGTTTGGGTTTGTTATAGGCAGCCGG